AATTGTGAGGATCAAATGAGATAATATTTGTAAGATGCTTGCCACATAGTAGGTGCTAGTTATTATTACTTTGATTCTCAGTGTCCCCAGGTAACTCTCTAAGGCTGTAATGTGCAGAGTAGGTACCCATCTGCATGGGCAGAAGGAGTTTCCTTACCATGAATTCTGAATGTCAGTGAAATCACAGACCTGGAACAAATGACCCCTTTTCCATTCCAGACCCAAAAATGTTCCCTTCTGGCCTTTTCCAATACTATAACACGAGAATATGTGGGATTCAATAGTCAATATCTTAAATTTCAGGAGCATGAGAAAACAGTAAGGTAAATAGTGAGGATCATGAGGATTTTCTCATTCTGGAACCTTGGCTAGTGACTATTAAAACTCTAGATCTGAAGAAATAGATCTCTCTCTCTCTCTCTCTCTCTCTCTCTCTCTCTCTCTCTCTCTCTCTCTCTCTCTCTTTTTGGCGAGGCAATTGGGGTTAAGTGACTTGCCCAGGATCACACAGCTAGTGAGTATCATGTGTCTGAGGTCAGATTTGAACTCAGGTTCTCCTAACTGGTGCTCTATCCACTGTGCCACTGTGCCACCTAGTTGTCCTACATTTCTCTTTCTCCAAAGTAGAGGCCTGTGCAAAGGACTTACTTTCTTTGCCTGTATCTAAACTGGGAGGGTTGTTATCTCCAATCTTGCCACTAACTTGATCATAAAACTGTTGTTCAGTCATTCAGTTGTTTCCTATTCGTCATGATCCCATGAACCATCCTATTCATGAGGTTTTCTTGGCAAAAATACTAGAGTGGTTTGCCATTTTCTTCTGCAATGGATTAAAGCAAACAGAGGTTAAATGACTTACCCAGGGTCACATAGCTAGTAAGTATCTGAGGTCAGATTTGAATTCAGGTCTTCTTGACTCCAGGTCCAGCACTCTTTCCATCAAGCCATCTAGCTGCCTGATCATGGGCTTAATCTAGTCCAACTTTCTCATTTTACAGATGATGGAATCAAGGCTCAGAGAAGTTAAGTGGCTTACCCATGGTCACACAGCTAGTAAGTATCAGTGGTAGGAAACACTCTTTCTACTGTGTGACAGTTGTTTCCATATTCCTTGCTTACTGACTGTGGGTGTCATGAAACCTCTCTGAGGGTGCTATGAGGGTGAATTAGCAACAATCAGAGCTATAAAGGACCTTTGAATTTTTAGAAGCTAGGGCACAGTATACATCAAAGCTTTCACTGTTGTTAGAATTTAAAGGGGCAGCTAGGTGACGCAATGGATAGAGTACCGGCCCTGGAGTCAGGAGGACTTGAGTTCAAATCTGAACTCAGATCAAACACTTGATACTTACTAGCTGCGTGACCCAGGGCAAGTCATTTAGCCCCAATTACCTCCCTAAAAAAAAAAAAGAATTTAAAGCAACTGTGCAATAAGAATGAGGGAATGGGGCTCTATCCATGCAGTATTTTTGCACCCCTTTATGGATGATAAGGAATAGGAGCAGTTGGGATTGAAAGAATGATGACAGTGGATTTAGGCAGACAAGAGTCTGAATCCTGCTTCTGATGCTAACCAGCTGTGAGACCCTGGGCAAGTCACTTCACCTGTCCAGACCTTGTTTCTCTCATCTGTACCACCTCACATGAGGTGGTGAGGTTCAAGTGACATGATTAACTCCAAGTGCTTCACAAATCTCAAAGCAAGATATAAGTGGCACATATTATAAAGCCAGTTCTTGAGCTGATGGAATTCTTAATCTGATTGGGAAAAGAAGATTATGAATAAGAGATAATTAGAGAAAAGCAAGATAATACCTAGAATCAAGTGCTAACCTGTACCAGTGATGGGAAAGATCAGAGATGGGAGAGAGCCAGCTGGGTCTAGAGGAATCTGGGGAGGCTTCCTGGAGGAGGTGTAATCTAAATGACACCTTAAGCAGTGGGTGGGATTTGAAGTAGTGGAGAGAAGAGAGAAGGGCATTGCAGGTAGCACAAGCAAGAAAGAGCAAAGTACCGATGGGAAACATTATGGATACCAATGGAAAGGATAGTTCCTGTTAGGGAATAGAGGGTAATGAAATTAGATAGGCTAGAATCATCAATTTTGGGGAGGGGGCTCAGAGACTAACACTCATTTGATAGATGAGGAAACTGACTCTCACATAGAAGTGACTTGCCAAAGGTTATGACCCTATGTCTCAGTTGTGTCATACCGGGGTTGTTGGTCTATATCTTCCGACTTCTAGCCCAGAGCTCTTTCTACTATACTTCATAAAAAAGGGAACTTGTGATGACATAGATAGGTACCAGGGAAGCAGAGGTGATGAGGCAGATCCTGGGTGCTGATGGGTACTGGGAAGGTGTTTGCTAGAGGGCCAGGCAGGGGCTGGCACTGAGTGTCTAAAACGTACTTTAGAAATGGCGTGTTATCAGATGGATAGGGCCAATTCTGTTTGGCATCACTGTGTTCAGCCCTCATGAGTATGTATAATGAATCCAGATTGTGTTCCCTGGAGAGCATGCTGGACTGAAGTTTTAGCCTGCTCCTCTATCTTCACCTCCACCTCTGACCCCTCCTCCTCCTTAGCACCCTAAGTTTGTTGTATCTGTACCTGGCTGGTTACAGGAAGGTGCAATATCATTATGGAATGTTTTGTGCAGAGACTGTAGTCACATCTGGACAGGTAATGCTGATAATTACTGAGCTGGTTACTAAATCAGACAAGCCAAGAAGAGGGGGAAGGTCTGCTGCTGTGGTTGCTACTCACAGCTTGGCACACCAGGGGGAGAAGTGAGAAGAAAACCAACAAAAGTGTGCATGTATGCATGTGTGTGTGTGTGTGTGTGTGTGCATGTGTGTGCACTTATGTGCTCCAGGACTAATTGAAATGACCTAATTATCAGTTACTTTCAGGCCCTCTGAGTTGAGAACGCTGAGACTGTTTCTCCCAAGATCAAACATCGCAGGAAGTATGCAAGCAGCCACACAGAGATGGAGACAAGAACCAGGATGCATTTCAGATTGGCTATCAGAATGGAAGAGAGCCAGCATGAAGTAGTGGATAGAGGGCTAGCTTTGGATTTAAAAAAAAAAAAGACCTGCATTGAAGTCCTATCCCTACTGCATGCTAGCTATGTCTCCTTGGGCACGTCACTTAACCTCAGGGCCCCAGGCAACCTCAGACTAGAAGTTGATGCAGATTAAATGAAATAATATATACAAGAGGTAGTAAAGCTTGAAACTGCACCAAGACTTTTGGGACATGCATCTGAAAAATGGGCTGATGGTCATGAAATGAAAGTGGAACAGACTGATTCTCAGGTTGTTTGGACTGAATCTTCTACTCCATAAAGGGATTCATTCAACAAACATTTACTAACTAACGCACAGCACAAGGTTCATGATGCAAGACAAAACCCAAAACTGTCCTTTTATTCAAAGAGCTCACATTCCAATGAGGAAAAGTGAATGGCCCCCAGAGCACTCAGAAGGTAGAAGTCCTATTATATCCCCTCCAGAGCACTGAAAGCTTATAGTTTTGTTCCTTGCATACTCCTAGGCATGCAGGGGCTTGGTCTCTATATTTCTAGTACCTCACCATTAGCTGTACACCAGATTCTAGAATGTAACAACCCCTTTCTCAGCAAGTTCTAAGAGCTAACTTTCAGGTTGACCAGGGAAATCTACACTAATGGAGGATGGACATATGAATATCAGCAATGGGAAAAACAAAAGCTATTAGATCTGTCCCGTGTCATCTGAGTGTGCATTTACTTCCTCGGTCCTCTCAGCATCCAGATCTCCAGCCCTTATGTTAGAAACCCTAGGCCTTGCCCAGTTCAGTTTGCTCATGTCAGAACCACTGATTAGGCCCATTGGTTCTGGACATTTACCTGGGCCAGCTCCCGGCCCTGGGAATGGTGCTGCTTGGCAGGAATGCCCAAGAACGTCCTTCTGTGGTCATGCCTGCCACGCGTCCCCCCATGCTTCAGAAATAGACGGGAATCCTCCCATGCCTTCTGCAGTAGATACTTTAGGGAAAGAACTCCCAGTGCGCACCAGCACCAGGGGGCCTGGTGGGGTCTTGGTGCCCGGGACCAGAGCAGGGCCAGCCCAAGGCGAGGGCTCTGGGGTTCAGGGGCGCGCTCTTGGGACTGGCCGGGGCTCTGTGCTCTTGTCCGAGGAGTCCAGCCGGCAGCAGCAGCCGCCGCCTTCTCCACTCCTTCTCCCGCACTGCTAACTCCCGCCCCCCGGAGCCGTCGGTGGAGGCCTTCTCTCCATACTAAACAGTTCCCGGGAGGGACTCGGCCACGTCCCCGAGACCGGATAAAGATCTGGCTCGGCTCCCGGGCTCCGCAGCCCAGAATCTCGCTATCAGCGTCGTTCCAGCGCCCGCTCCAGACCGGCCCGGCCCCGCGGTCCTGCCGGAGGCGAGCGACTGATCTTTACGGGTGGGGGAAACAAGGAAGGCAGGTAGGGGCGCTCCAGTCGCCCCCGTTGCCCCTCCGGGCGCAGCCCGCCAGAGGGACCCAGCCCCCGGAGTCCCCTCCCCTGGCTTCCCGGCTGGTTTCTCTCCCCATGGACTCCAGCTCCCAGCTCAAGACAGCTTCAGGGACCACAGCCCCGGGAGGAGCCCTCTTCCCCCCGCCCCTCTTCTCGCCGGGCCCTGCTGCCTTCTGAAGGTTACGAGAAGTGGCTGTGGGAAGCGCTCGCTGTACCGGGGAGGAGCGCTCGCTTGCCCCCCGCCCCAGAGGCCGCCGCTCCCGCTCCGGCTCCCGGGCCAGCCTAGCCGCCGACTGCCACCGCAATCCCGGCTACTAAATCAGCGCGGGGAGGCGGCCCCTTTGCCCCCCTCCCCAATGTCTCCCCCCCCGCCCCCGAATTCTCTTTCCTGCCATTGGCCGATCCCTCCCTCCCGCCCCCCGCTCCCCACCCCCCGGCTCTCCAGCCATTGGCTGCCTGTCTCCGCCAGCCTTTACATAAGCCTGGGCGCGCTCGAGTGGAGTTGTATAAAGCAGAGCGGCGTCGGGGCGAGAGGCTTGAGACGAGCCCAGGGCCGGGACAGGGAGCTGGAAGGAGGCGAGCGCCCGCCCTGTCTCCGCGACCCGTCTCCCCCAGACGGTGCGGGGGACGGAGGGGGCAGTGAGGATGGCACCCGGAACGGACGGACCCGTAAGTACCCGGCTGTCCCTTGTACCTCTCTTTCCCCCCCCCACACCTTCGGATGGAGAAAGTTTCTCCCATCCCTCCACCGTTCCTGCCCCCCCCATTTCCCCCAAGCTGGGCAGCAGGGACAGCAGCTGGGGTGAGCGAAGGGGGGAGTAGAAGGAGGCAGCGGCTTCTCTCTCAACTTGAGAAGGGGCGCGGGGTTCTTGAACCCTTATCTCTTGGCTAGAGACAAGCCATGCAGGGGGGATGTGGGAGGGGAAACCATTGGAGAAAGGGGGAGCTATGGAATGGGGAAGAGGAAAATGAGAGGAGAGGTGATGAAATTGGGAAGGATTTGGAGGGAAGGTGAGGGGGGATTGTTGGAGGTCAGATGTTTGGGGAGGGGGAGCTGGCTATAGGAGAGAGTGGAGGTGATGGGAGGGGAGCAGGTGAAGAGCACTGAGCTGGGGTAGTCGGGAAGTGACTGATTAGGGCGGTCTCAATCCCTCTGCTTTGGAAGCTCTTGTGCCTGACCAGGATGTCTGTGCCTCCAGTCGTTGGCATACCCTGGAGGGGCTGGAGCTCTCCCTTGGGAAGAAAAGCTCCCTTAGGCATGAAGCTGTGTGATGTACAGCTGCTGAGCCCCAGCTCCACATAGTATTACTGCTTGAGCTCCCACAGCCAGCCTCTTCTGCTTGGACTGAGGTGTGGTCTAACATTGAGCCTGCCTCTGACAAGCTAGATTGCTAGCTTACTAGAGGAAACTAAGTTGCCTCTCCTGGGGGGTAATGGAGGGGGGTGGGGAGCAAGGAAGCCTGGATTTTGGGGGCATGCACAGAAATGCAGAGGACTCCCTGGGCTATGTATGAGTTGAAGAGTCCTGCGAGAGTCCTATTTCTGCAGAGCAGAACTCAGGAATCCTAAGTCATCTCCCCCTGGATGGGATCCTACCAGCAGTGGTCAGGAGCTCCTATCAGACCTTGCAGGGAGGTGTGGGAATGCAGAAGAGATTCAGGTATAGCAGGTGTAAATGGCCATGTAACCTGAACTAATAAAGGTGCCCCTGGTATCTGGCTCCTGTGTGGCACTGTGGGGGAACCCAACTCTTATGCAAGGAAGGAACCAGAAGCTTGGAGGTAGACATGGGGGTGGGTGTGTTTTTGAGTCCTAACAGAGGTTTCTTTTGGGCCAAGCTGAAGGACTTCCAGAACTGGAGCCAGGCCCAAAGGAAAGACAAGGGACTAGACACTTGGTAGAACATTCTCTAGAAAAAAGAAGAGACATCATTGGGAGGCCTGGCTCTGGATGCCATGAGGGGTTAGAACCAGGGATGGTAAATCCTTAATTAAACCTGATATAAAGAACAACATTACCATATAAACCAATCTTTGGAGAGGATTGAGAGCTGGGATCATCCAGTCACTTCCAACATGGCTCTCCAGGGAGAGTTAATCTCTTTTCTTAGTAAAGAAAATCTTTTTTTTTAAACAACAGGTTCTAAAATGAGTTTACCAAGGCAGCAAAAGAGGAAATAGGGATATCACCCCTAATATGTTCCCAATTTCATTACTACCCGTTGAAAAACATGAACTTTGGGGGAAGGTTCACGCCTGTATAGAGGAAGAAGGGTTACCTGCTCTGAGTTTTTACCGGAAACTCAATCATAACTTGCTTTTGAATGTATCCTGTTGCCTTTGCCCTATCCCTGGACCTTGGTGGTTGTCATATATTCCTAGTAAGACTATTTCAGTCTGGAGGCTTAGTGAGTACGCCCTCTATACTCCCAGAAAACTAACTCCGTCATCCTCATACCTGCAATTGACACCTTTCTGGTCTGTTTCCCAGGACCATCACACACCAGTGGGAATTTGTGCAGCTAAATGCCTGCTTGATTTGGCCTCTCTTAGTGTCCACATGTAGGTTGTACCTGATGTTTGTTTTTTACTACTCTGATGTTCAATTATGAAGTTCAGGGAGACTACTCCTGGGGAATGCCCTTAAAGAGGTAATGTGGTATAATAGAAAGAACAATGGACTTAGAGGCAGGAATCTTTGAAATACATCCTGGCCGTGTTCCCTCTACCCTATCTAAGAGTTATAAGCGGGTGACCTTGGGCAAATCCCTTGACCTCTCTGACCCCCTGTTTCTTTATTTGTAAAATAGGGGAAATATCTTTCCTACCTACCCCTTAGAACTTGTTCAGATGATATGCTAAAGGTTAGGTTCTTTGTAAAGTAATGATATCTACCATTTATATTACACTTTATTGTTATTAAGTCTGTGGCCTGACTGCCTTTGTATTTTTAGGGTGAGAGTCCCAATATTATTTTTCCTTCCAATAACTTTTCAGGAGACAAGCCATCAAATCTAAAAAAAAAAATGCCTGGACCTAGTGCCTAATGGGATTTCAAATCCTGGTTTCAAAATTCACTAGCACTTTGTGGCCATGGATGGCCTGTCTGGCATGGAGCAGGTGTTTAAATGCTTTTTGATTGATTGAGGATCTATTTCCTTATCTGTAAAATGGGGATGAGCACATTTATACTACTGACCCTTAAAGAATTGTTGTGAGGAAAGTGCTTTATAAATCCACTAAACCTGAAATAAATGTAGGTTATTGTCAGTGATGGTAGAGCAGCTCACCAGGCCCCCTTAGCTTCTGTGTGGGGCAGGCAACTTGAGGTAACTCAGAGGCTACAAGAACAGCTGGCTTCTTAGATTTCTTTCCTTACCTTGCAAGGGTGAGAGTGACATATGACTTCTCCATTCTTGCTCTTATTCATTGTATTCACAAGGAGCCACAAGGAGTACCCTGAGTCTTGCTAAATGGTGCTTCAGATTAGACAAATGTGGGGAGTGCCCCCCAGCACACTGCAAAAGATGCTGAGATGTATTGACTCAGCTCTGCCCCCTTGCTGTGATCATTCCTTTGTGCTCAATGGGGATCTAGTCTTTTTCCTTTTTTAACTAGTCAAGAGCAGGAGACACATCTTCCTACAGTGTTCCAAACATAACCAGCACTCAGTAAAGATGAACAGACAAGAAGTTGGGTGATGTTTTTGTTTAGTTGGAGAAGGGAGCACTTCCCGCCCAACCTACCCCCTACACAATGCTTAGATTATGTAAATTGGATGAGGAGGAGGTACTATTCCCATAACTCATACAGAAAATCTTATTCGTGCCTCTATATGTTTTTTCATACGGTCATAGATTCAAGCTGGAGAGGGCCATAGGATTTGTCTAATCCAGTGCCGTCTTTTTAGAGATGAGGAAACCAGGGCCTCAAAAGGGCAAGTGACTTGTCCAAGGCCATACAGGTAAGTAGTAGGTGGCAGAACCAGTGGTCAAACTCATATATTCTGACCCCGATCTTGTACCTCCCTCATTGTATCTTTGCTCTCTGTCCTTTTTTTCTTTTTTGCCATCTCCCAAATTGTCCAAATCCATTTTTCAGAAAAGTGGTGGACAAACAATTTGTCCTTTCTTCCCTGAAAGTGTATGGGCAGAAATAGGAAATACCTTGCCCTTTCCTTAATATTGGTCTGGCTGAGACCAGTGTAAGAGAATTCTTCCTGACCCTTGACTAGGGAGATCTGGAATAGGAAGGAACTCACTGAGAGATGTCTTGTGGGTTCCACAGGACAAAGTCAAAGGCAGAAGGCAGAATGTTAATGGCATTCCCCTAGAGCTGTAATCCCTTTAAAGGTGGGGGTGGGGGCAATACACTGCTGGAAGCTTTACTGCTAATTCCGTCAGTTTAACCCATTCCTTACCACAACTGTGCTTGAGTGTTAGAGTGACTTAGTGTTTCCTGTTTCCATTTTGCAACTCAGGCCATCCAACCTAAACCATGGTAAGCTTGCAGGGGGCGGGGGGGGGCCGGGATTCTGTGGGGCTTCTGGAAGCTCTGGTATCAATGTATATGACTGTGAACCATGCAACAAACCATTGGTTCCTCTTTGTTTGGCCATTCAATAAATAAGGAAACATAGAATGGGAGATAATATCTGTCTTCCAAGAGCTTATAGTCTTTTGGAGAGATAAGACAAGTTCCTAGAAGACTATAATACAAGTTAGAATAGGAAAGAGCAAGAAGTACCCAGTGCTATGATGTTTTAGTGGAGGAAGGGGTTCCTGACTGAAGAGGCTCAGGGATGAGCTACCTAGCACAGATGCCCTTGAAAAATGCGTAAGAATGAAACAGACAGGACAATCCATGTGAAAGGGACAGTGTGAGCAAAGTCAAAGAATGAGGAAATCACAGAGCATGTTAGGGGAATATACATTTATAATCCATTTTCAATGAAGGGAAAAAGTAGAATTATAGAACGTTAGCACTAGGGGGAACTTTTGAGGTCATTTATTCCAATCTCATTTTATGCATGGGTAAACTGAGAGAGATCACAGAGGTCAAGTGGCTTATCCAAGGTCACACAGCTAGTTAATGACTGGATAATGCAGGAAAGGTTGATCATAAGGGCTTTGAATGCCAGATGAAGGAATTTGGAGTGTATTCAATAGGGAGCCCCTAAAAGTTTTAGAGCAGAGGAGACATAGGGTCAGAGCTGTACTTTTCAGATTAGAAGAAGGACAATTTTTCAGAACTTGAAGGATAATTACAATAGTCCTTTCAAGATGTAACTAGAGCCTTGACTTAAAATGTTGCAGTAAGAATGAAGAGGGGAGAAAGAGGTGTGAGCTACTGCAGAGGGAGTCTCACAAAATGCAGATTTCCTATGGATTGCCCTAAGGTCCAATGCCAAGACTGAGGACAATCTCTTCTCTTCTCCTCTCTACTGGGAGGGGAACAGGGACTCTCTAATCTCAGAATTTGAAATGAGCACCTCGTGTTTTGCCTTTGCATCCTCAATGTGCTAGCTAGGGACTTATGTTATGAGGATGGGAGCTAGGGTTTCTTGGCATACCTGAAGGTTGCTGGTACAGATTCTTAGCCTTCTTGGCAGACTGAGGTAAGAGAGCAGGGCCAGAGTTACGCTTTACTTTAATTCAAAGTAGGGCTTAG